AGTGTGATTTCCCAGGTAGTGGCAGGAGGGAAGGACGCCCAGAACGTCCAGTGACGTCCTGCTCTGTTCCGCTCCCATCCGCAGCAGGGCAGCACCCGCCCTGAGTATCGCGGTCCCCAGGACACGCCTCACCTGTGCGCCTGCACACGGGTGTCTGACGATGGCGTCTCACTCACCCGAGCTCCACACATAATCAGAACTTCAGAGCGGCTGTTATGTCTTTAATCCCAATTTGCTTCTCAACCCTCCTCTCCTACCCCTATTAATTTTAGGTTTTTAGAAACAGAGGTCTTTTTCAAATGATTTCCAATTAGAAATGAATTCTTAAAAAGCCTTCTGGGAATTGTGGATGTAACATGTTTGCTCATTTCATGAAGATACGATTCTTCCTTGAAGATAAGCTGATCTGATGAGCAAGACGGGGAAGGTAGGCGGCACGGCGCGGCTACTGCTGAGGCTTACGGCGCGGTGCCTGCAGCGCTGTTGTGCGCTCTCTTTGTGACCCCACCCCCACGCATTTTTTTATTATGAGAACTTTCAGACTGACAACTGACACGAAACCAGAAAGTACAATTCCTACGTATGCATCATCCAGTTTCCAGGTACCAAGGTCTGTCATTTTCGGGCAGCTTTTGTTCTGTTCTTAAATGTTGCTGACGGTTTTCTAATTGGTTCATTTAGGAAGGAGTCAAATGTGAGGCGCTTTGCTTGGGTCTGAGTGTGGTGACCCTGAGGGGTAACCTGAAGGTGTCCTTTTCAGGAGTGTGTTCCGGAAGACCTAGAACTGAAGCAGCAGCTGTTTGCTCAGCTGGATGGAATCATGGACGATGACGTGGTCTTGAGCAGCTCCAGCTCCTGCCTCCTGCCCTCCAAGCTGTTCGCTGGCCTGGCGCACAGGAAGCAGTGCCTCGTGGCACACCCCGTGAGTATATCGAGCCACCTGAGATAGGGTGACTCTCATTTGGGTTTTGGGGAGCAACACATTTTAACTATCTGCTAGTACTTTTAACTTATTTCAAATTGAAGTATAGTTGATTTACAGTGTTGTGTGAGTTTCTGGTGTACAGCAAAGTGATTGTTATACATATATATTCTTTTTCATTATAGGTAATTATAGGATATTGAATACAGCCCCCTGTGTTATATATACAGCAGGACTTTGTTTTAACCGCTTTATGGAGATCAAATAAATCAACTTGTACAATTCAGTGGTTTTTAGTGTACTTAGAGAGGTGTACAGTATCAGCATTTTTTAAAGGAATTTTATCCAAAAATTCCTTGAGCTGTTATCTTGTATCTCGTGCATCACGGGGTGGAACGAGCAGACTCCAGTAACTCCCGTTCCAGCTGAGGAGAGAGACTGCTAAACAAGTAACTGCACGGCCAAGGAAAGGGCGCTACACTAGCACACAGTCCAGGCCAAGCGGGATTCTGCAGGCGGGCCACCTGCACTGTGTGCTTCCCTGAGCTCAGGTCAGAATGGGGTCATCTGTGCTGATGGGCTCCACCCGGGGCTCTGGGGAGCAGCTCTGACTTAACCCTTCCTTCCTGTGGTCCCTCCCACCAGGCCTCGTCACTGACTGGCTGGCTTACTCACTAGGAGTGCCTTGGGAGGAGGCGTGTTGGCACGCAGGCACTCAATCTTTTTGAGGTTAACCTGTTAAAGTCAAGAAAGGGGAATTAAGAGTGGGGATTGGGGGATCATTTGGTGGGCGTCTGAGAACTGAGTGGAGAGCCGGGACAGCCTGCTAGGACAGAAAAGCGAACGCGGCTCCAGCCACAATCAACAGGATGCATATGACAATGCCACACCCTCTGCACCACCGGCCACCGAGGTTAAAGGTTGAGAACACCGAGAGCTGCCCAATGGGGGCGGACCTGGTTGGGCTGCTGTGAGAGGCTGGAAGGAGCATAAGCAGAGAGCTGGCCAAGCACAGGATGGGGCATGCAGAGTTGCCAGGAGAGCAGCGTGACCGGCAGGGCACTCGTACTCGGGAAGCAGCAGGATGGTGACAGGAGGCCTGGTGATACTGGGGCCGGGGAACCATGAGAGCTGCTCTGAACAATCAGAACTGCTCAGGCACAGAGCAGCGCTGTGGTGCGGTGGAAACGGGCCCTTGGAGGATAAGCCGAAGGTCCTTTCTGCAGTGAAGATGGCTCCGAGAGGCGGGCAGCTCCTTCACAGAACCTGAGGGCAGTGTTCCAAGCATGCGTGAAAACAAAGGGGAGTCACAGATGCCTGTCGGGTCTTCCATGCTGAGAAGAGGGACAGCCTGGACCACCACTGACACGCCTGACTGCTTCTGGACGTCCTGAGCTGAAGTCTAACAGAAAGTCTAACAAACGATTATTTTAAAAAAAGAGAACAGGGACGGAAACCAAGCATTTCCTCACCACTCAGTCCAGCGGAAAGCAGCACCAAGGGGGCCTTAACTGGAGCCTCCAAACCCCAGAGCCCACGAGGCGTGTCACGTCTTCGCTTCTGTGACGTGTGTGTCCATCCAGAGGGCTCTCAGGAAGCATGAGCCACTAGATTGTCACTTGGTTGCTTCAGTGAAAAGTGAGCTTCTTGGCCAAGAGCTTCCGTCTATAACCAGTGCTTTTACTTCTAAGTCAGTTTAAAAAACAACTGAATCAGATTGTCCCCAAAACACCTCCTAAGTCCTCTGCCCAGACTCTCTCCACATCCCTTCCTTTCATCCCCCGCTGGGCCGGGCCAGGCCCCACCTGCCCTTCTCTGCTGCCCGAGGCAGCCCGAGCCCTGCGGGCCGGCCCCCCGCAGTAACTGTGCGGCATGGCGCTTGTCTCCCTCACACCTTTCCGGTCTCGCTCGCGTTTACTTAATCAAACACAGACAGCACAGAGTGAGGCCTTAATTTAAAAATTAATCCCTCATTACTTTTATAAATAATTTTAAACCAAAACTGACATTAACCAAAGCAAATCACATCACTCAAACTGACTGTCCTTGGAATTTTACCCCTGCTGGCTCACGCTGCCTACTTCTGGATCTCCTGACCTCTGGGGGAAAAGTGCCTCGATAATCTAGAACCATCTATGACTTTTAGGAGCCACAGAGTTTTCCGTCCCCCTCCAGGCCAGACAGGCAGGAGAGGCTGGCGCCCTGCCTTCTGCTTGGTGCGCAGCCACTGGGGTTCTCTGCCCGACAGGAAACAGAGCAAAGGAGAAGGAAGCCTGCCCACGCCTCTGAAGGACCTGGCAGTGGGTGCTGGGCGAAGGCTGCCGTCTCCACCGGCCACACCCACGCGCCCTCGGTGCCTTTCCGGGTGGGGTGGGGTGGGGT